GGGGGGGAGGGGAGAAGGTGCTTTAATTAAAGTGGCTCCGAGAACCTCTCTAATTAAAGCACCCGGAGCATCTTGTGTATCCATGTCCCCGCACATCAAAATGGTGGTGGGAAAGCTTTAGCTAAAGCTTATTCTATGAGTTTTAGTAAAAGCACCCCCACCACCATTTTGAAGGGCAGAGATGCTGATACACGTGACCTGGAGGCTACCTGGAGCACACCAATTAGCATGCTTCAGCAGATTCAATTAACTGGGTCTGCTTACAGCACGCTGGAGCAGCTTCCCGGCACATCTACAGGCACCAATTGTTTGGCATCAATTTTTTTTAACTACCTAGTTTACATGGTATGGAAGCTATTTATAAATAAGAGAAATATACTGCATAAGTAAACATAAGCAAACACTGGGTTTAGGTGCAATTGCAGTAACATGGAGGTACTTAAGACAATAAAAAGCTTTTATTGTATTGTATTTAAGAAAGTTTCCCTGACATATTCACAGAAAGCTACTCTGAGCCCAAGTAATTGGATTTTCTTTTCTTTTTTAGTGGTTTATAAATGATGTAAAAGCGACAGATATAAAAGGAAAGCAAGGTCCATATAAATCTTAAGGCAACGTGGATCCTACAAATCTTATTTCTTCTTTCTGCTTACCCTCAGGTCGTCACACAACTGAATATAAAACCTAGCAAATGTTATTTTTGTATCAGGAGCAGCAAAGGAATTGTACTGTAAATTTGCCCTGATTCACCCAAGCGAGGGACCAATTTGGCAGATCATCCATCTTGTTCACTGTATACTGTCAGGGATGGCATGAATTCCCTACATGATAAACAGATTTCTTCTCAGGTCTGTGTCCTTTAACCCACAACAAGGTCAAAATTATGGCTGCCTAGCTAATAAACTGCACAGCACTGGTTCAGGTTCCTTCTAATTTTGTCCCTTGTGCCAGTTTAAACAAATCTTACCAAATAACTAGAGCAGCTGCAAATTTGCTATGCAATTCTCTACTGATGTACTGCAAGCCACACACAGTGTGCAACACAAAAATCCCCCAAATCCCAGAAAGGATTGAACAAAAGCATTCACTAGTGTCCTTTTTCAGCTGAATGCTGTAAACATCAAAATGTAAAGCGACATATATCTCATCTATCACTGAAATGTTGTTTGGTGCTCACATATTAGATTAAATTATTTATTATATATTTTTACACATCAAAAGCCTACTTGGATTTTGTTTTCAGGATCAACTAGGCTGTTTATTTACTCAAAAAGGTAAGGACTAATTTTGAAATTACAAAATTACACAAAGGAAAACAACTGATCTTTCTTTGAGCACTGATTGTATGGTGATTTCAAGTACATATTTAAATATGTACCATAAAAAACTCTCAAAATCCACTATCTACTTATTTTTAGAACTTTTCACTTATTGAAAAACATATAAAAAACCCAGTCAAATATTTGAGGAAAAAAATAATTCTTCAGAAAAATAAATTCATAAATCAAATCAGAGAGCAGATATGCTTTGTTACTCCTTTTAGGAAATAAGCCAAAATAACTGATTACAGAATAAAGGAAAAAAATCCAACTATTACAGTTTTGACAGCTGAAATGGCTAATCTGCAGCCATTTTTGTTTTAGAATATAATGTGTTAGTACTACTACCTATCTCAATTCCCTGTCAGGATAAAGAAACAAATACAGGACATTTGAGAAATGGAAGAATAAAGATTAAAAAAAAATGTCATTTGAAGAGGTCTAATAAAAACATAGCGAACAAATGTTTCTTAGATATATTTTCTGTTTGTAAAAATCTCAGATCTGAGTGAGAGATACCACAATTTAAGAGGAATTAAATTAACAGAACATAACAAGATGGTATACTTGTGCGCTTATGAACATGTCTGTTTTAGAGAGAAAGAGAACATACTACCACTAGAGGTATAACAATATTATCGTCGTGAGTTGTGAAGATCACATCACTCACGAGGGCCAAAGCCCAGAGCCACTAGTTAA